GGGAGATGGAGAGACAAAGATGGAAAGAGAGAGAGGGGAGATGGAGAGACAAAGACGAAAAGAGAGAGAGGGGAGATGGAGAGACAAAGACAGAAAGAGAGAGAGGGGAGATGGAGAGACAAAGACGGAAAGAGAGAGAGGGGAGATGGAGAGACAAAGACGAAAAGAGAGAGGAGAGATGGAGAGACAAAGACGGAAAGAGAGAGAGGGGAGATGGAGAGACAAAGACGAAAAGAGAGAGAGGGGAGATGGAGAGACAAAGATGGAAAGAGAGAGAGGGGAGATGGAGAGACAAAGACGGAAAGAGAGAGAGGGGAGATGGAGAGACAAAGACGGAAAGAGAGAGGGGAGATGGAGAGACGAAAAGACGAAAAGAGAGAGGGGAGATGGAGAGACAAAAAGACGAAAAGAGAGGGGGAGATGGAGGGATGAAGAGATGAAAATACAGAGATGGAGAGACAGAGACAGAAATGAGCAAACAAACGAAAACATCAGGTAGCTTTGGATTCAGCTGCTGCATGAGCTTTCTTGACAGCAGATTATTCAAAATTTGGTGTGGATGGTCTTCCATATAAAATCATTTACACACTTTTTATCAAATGAGGTTAAATTCAAACTGTAAATACAAGAACTGACTAAAACGGGATGGATGGATGGATGGATGGATGGATGTCAAAGTCAAGCTAGCATAACTGAGCTACTTTCCTGTTTCTTTTTGTTAAAAAGTTTTAAAACGTTTTTAGAAGCATCTCTTTTTATTTTACAAATCACAGTTTAAGAATTAGTGCGTTATGTTGCCAACTTGACAGCTAAAACCAATGATAGCCATCATTAGCTAGCAGCACGAGACGACACATTGCAGTGTGTCTACGGAGGTATATGGAGCTACATTGGGACAATAAAGTCTGCTTAAAAAAAAAAAACGAATCAGAAAAGTAGTTAATGGCTCAAATTTAGCTCCGTACAGGTCAGCACACCAGCAGATTATGGTCTATTAAGTTTTTTCCCCATGTTACAAAGAAAGTCACAGATTTTTATTTTCAGAAACCAACTGAACATCAAACTTAAGCAAAACTGAAACTTTCCTTAATCTGATTAAAAATAGCTTTAATATTTTCTCAGTGTTTCCATGGCAACCCGTTTCACGTTGGTGACGTTGTGAGGACGCATCCAGGTAATGTGACAGGTTAGAGTCCAGGAACATAAACAGTAATCACACACACACACACACGCACACACACACCGTGCACAGGCCCGCCCTGCAGCTCATTATGTCTGCGTTTCCTCCTCTGAATTGAGTTGTGGAGGGTTTGGGGGATGGAGCAGGGTGGAGTCTGGTGACCCTGAAGAGCGCGACCTCAGGCGACGTTTGAAGAGTTAAAGACGGGGGAGGGGGTATGGGGGTCGCTCAGAGCGGCAGGGGGCGGGGGCGGCAACACACAGGGAGGGAAAGTAACTTCTTGATGCCGCTTCAATTCCTCCCCTCTCCTCTGGAGATTTCTTTTGATTTTAGCAAAAAAATAAAACTTTAGACAGTTTCTCTTCGGTTTTTCTCACAATTTTTACTTTGATCTCAGAATTTGTACTTTTTTCCTCAAAATTCTGTCACTTTTCTAAGAATTCAAACTTTTTCCTAAAACTGACCAGATTCCTGAAATAAAGATTAAATATTTTTATTTCATTTTCATTATTTTATTATTAATGAATGTTGAGACGGACCCTGATGTAGCCGCCTGCTGTGTGTTTTCTGAGCATTAAAATCATTTTGGGGTGGGCTGAGCTCCCGTTTCGTCTGCTGAGCTCCTGAGTTTTGGGTTCCCTCCAGAACCTCTGGTCCGCAGTGACACGCCGGCCGGCCTGAGCAGCTGCCTCGCTCCGTTTCAGTCCAGCCGGGCGGCGGGGGGCGCCGCTCAGCTGTTTACCCCCCAGGGTGTGAAATATCTCTGGATCAACACAGCATGCTCCAAAACAAACTCCTGCATATCAGTTTACTCAAGACTTTGTTTGTTTGTTTGTAGATTCAGTGACTAGAAAAATGTCTACAATGGTTCTTTGTTTTTGGTAAATATTATCGATTTAATGAATATTAAATGCATTTATTAAAAATTGGTAGGTTTTTGTTTGGTTGATGCAAACTAAGAAAAAAAACTTTTGTTAAATATGTAAGAAACAAAATGTACGGAGTCTGGTTTGTGCCCAAAAATAAAATTAATCAATTAAGGATATAATTGATTAGGGCCACTGGAAAATAGAAATTCTGACTTTATTCTCAGAATCACCACTTTATTTTCAGAACTCTGATCTGCATTAAGATTAGGACTTTTTCTCAATTCTGATATTTTTTCTCAAAATTCTCAGAATAAAGTTGGAATTTATTTTTGTTGGCGCTGATCTTCTTCCGTATGAATAGATACATTAATAGAATGATATGTACATGTATTCATAGATGTATTTCTGCATTGTTCCCATGTGATTGATGAATCTGACTTCTTGAGAAATTGAGGCAGTTATTCAGATTTTTGCCGTTTCTAATGCGATAATTTAAAATTAAAAACGTTGATGGAAACGTGGCTAAAGTCAGGAAGAAGTTCTTCCCCAAATATTCAGGGCAATCCTGGAACAACTGCTGTTTGAAATTGGGCAAGAGGTACAATTGAATTGTTGAGATCAATTCATGTATTAGAATGTCCTAGTCAAAGTCCAGGCTGAATCCAACTGAGAACCAGTGGGAGAGCATGCCTAGGTGGGCCCCATATGGGGAAAAGGACAGACCAGATGGGTCCCATATGGGTTTGTCCGCGGGTTCCACGGTGGCCTCCCACATGGGCAAACCCATGTGGGGCCACCGTGGACAAACCCATATGGGGCCCATATGTCAGCCCTCCTTTCCCCCATATGGGGCCCACCTAGGCATGCTGGCAGGGAGAACTGGAAAAATGTCTCGTATTACGTTAAAAAATTCTGTCCTGATTACAAATTCATGCCACACTTTTCAGAACATTTTGTTCATTTCTACGTGCTGCTTTGTGTTGGTTTATTACCTCATGCATTGCAGTTTGGTTGTGATTTGACGGTTTGTGAAAACCTTTGATCACTAATAGTTTTTTCCAAAGCACTGTATATTTGATTATTCCCATTCAGAACCACTTGAACAAACTGCAACAAGTCTTTTAAACATTCCCTCTTTTCAAAATGAGCAAACAGTCCAGATAAAGGCCCGGCATTGTGGAGGCTCAGAGCTTTTGTGTTTCCCTTTTGAAGCTGAGCTTTCCCTCAGCGCTCAGGAAAACGTGTTCACCCCGTTTTCTTTTTCTTTTTTTCTCTGCTGAAGCATTTCTGGCACTTGGCAGCGTGAAGCTCTGCCAAATGGAAGAAAAAAACCCCGACAACACAGACGGAGAGAAAGAAAGAGCACCCTCAATCAGGAAGTGACAGCTTTTTAGCTGCGCCAAAGGAATCAGGCAACTTCCTGGTCAGGTTGCCATGGTTACTGGAAACTCGGCCAGCTGCCGCAGCCGTTAGCCGTTAGCGGCGACGGTTAAGACGGAAGAGTTAAAGACAGACTGACTTTTAAATGTAAGCAAAACGTCATTACTGTGTTTAATGTATGTTTCCGTTATGCTTAGAGTTTTTTTTACAACGGCGTATTGAGTTGTTTCTACTAGAAAATTTCGGAGATTAATGTCAAAATGTTGTCGTGTTCCCTTGATTGTAACATTTTCCTACAGAAATCGAAATGAAAATATGGGGATTTGTATGATATTTATATTTTGGTGTTTCTCCGTGACTCTGGTAAGTAAGCTTGAACACATGTTCAAAATGATGTTTGCGTCTGATACAGTAAAAAATAAAATCTATAATTAAGTGTAAGGAGTTTCATTCACAAAGAGGAAGTGACGTCATTGTGCTTACTGGTTGCTCCAGTGGCAAATCTTCCCGTGTATTTTTGCAATATTCTTATCAACTGACTTGAACTGTTTTTTTCTTCTTTTTTATTTAAAACTACTTTAAACTTAACAAAAAGACAATCAAAAAGTAATTTAAACAAAACATCGCTCCATGTGCTTCCCTGTCCCTGAGTGAATAAAAGCACTCCCGCAGCATTACTCTGCCACCACCGTCCTGGTGAGTTAATTTTTTTCCCAACACGTTTCAGTTTAATCTTTTTATTTTTTTTTTGTGGCTCATTTTGTCTGAATAACAGGATAATAATAACAGAATAACAGGAGCTTCATCATAACTATGCAGACCTTGTTAAAGGGTGTTGACCTTCCCTCAGTACCTACCTCGATTAAATCCATTAAACACTCAAATTTATCCAAGTTAGAAAATATGACTAAAATGATGATACATGGTCAAAAAAGTCTCTTGCCTATTAATTGTGCAGACATAGAAAAACTGTAAAACCGAGTCGAGTGAACAAGAGGTTTTTGTTTGCTGTATTGAAACTGAGACTGGGCTCCACTAATTTTATTTTGGGACACCAAAATAAAAGAGGCTGGATTTAAATGAGCCCTTTTCAGCTCTCTATTAACAAAAAAAAAAAAAAAATGCAACAACAACAAAAAAACATTAAAAAACTGCATCCTTTCTCTTACGCTTCACTGTTGTAGTTTTTGCTGCTCTGTCGTATAAAAATAAAATGGCTGAATCCTCAGAAAAATGAGTAAAAACTTAGTGGGTTTGAAAGCTTCTGAATGCACATAAGATTTTATGTTTCTCAAAATGTCTGGAAAGAGCTTTTTAAAATTCTGATTTTGTGAGCTGCATAGATAGTTTTCAATGTTTCCAGCAGTGAGTGAAGGTCTTTGTGTGGCTGTGGCTAACAGATTAGCTGTGTGTAAAGGTAAACACAGCTGGGGAACCCCCCGGTCCTCATTTATCTGGGTGTTTGCTCAGAGGATGCGCCCTAATCTTCCCACAGAGACGCGACTCTGTACACAACCACAGTCCTGCTAATTCCTCCATCGTTAAACTTGGAGGATCTTTGTGTCTACAAATCTCTCTGTGGGTGGCAGGACTCTGAGATAAACTCATTATCATATAATCGTAGCAAATTTTTAAAGAATCTGATGAACGATTTTCTTTCTGCTGAGAAATCAGGAATGTTTTTATTTTATTTTTTATTTTTAGGTGAAAGACATTGTCAACTCTGTCCTGTGTAGCTTATTGATTACTGTAAACTGTCCACTACTGGACGCTAAACCTGTTTCACAGCGCCATCTGCTGGTGATTACTTTGCATTCCTTTTTTATATTTGTGGTTAGGGGTTTTCTTTCCACTTATATCTGTTTTATTTAAATATATTTATTAAATGTATCTACACACTAAAATAATCAACCAAAAGACGTGTGAACAACATTCCTGGCTATCTACTATGGAGGTCCAAAACTGACATAATTAAAACTAAAAGTAGAAATATGTATTTTTTGTTTTTCCTTTGCTTATACATACATTGTTGTTAAAAATATATATGTTTTGTTTTTTCGATTTCTCTATACACACATTTTTGTTAAAATACATATATTTGCTTTTTCCTTTTTCTTACACATGCATTTTTGACCAAAAATATGTTTATGAAAAAGAGGAAAAAACAAGAAATGTATATTTGTTAATGACAATTCATGTGTAAGGAAAAGCAGAAATACATATTTCTGCTCTTATTTTTAATTATGTCTGTTTTGACCCTCCATATGCATAAGGAAAAAGTATGGCAGACCAAAACTGATTTAAAAATAAAAGTATTTTCCCCCTTTTTCCTATATATGAATTGTCAATAAAAAAAAATCTATAGAATTTTTGTATTTTCCTTTTCACATACATTGTCAACAATGTGTAGGTTGTGACAATGTATGTGAAAAAACACATTAATTGTGTTTTTTCACACAATGTATGAAAAAACACAATGTTTTTTTCATTGTGTCAATACACAAATGTATTTTGTCAATACATTTGTGTATTGACAAAAATGAGTGTATAAGAAAAAGGAAAAAACAAAAAATATATATTTCTGCTTTTATTTTTTAATATCAATTTTGGTCCTCCATATATAACATGGTAAAGCAGCGTACTTATTGATATATTGTTTGTTTTTTATTAGTAGTTTCTGGAAAAGAATGTATGTATCAAAATATGCAAGGACCCATAAAAGAATAAACTGACCTGTCCTTTATATATAAAATTAAAATATAAATTTCATGACGTTTTAAAACTTTAACCTATTTTTAAACTGCGCTTCTTCTCGGCTTCCGTTGACGTCGCCTTAAAACGTTTGACGTCAGTATAACAACAACCTGTCATGACAGCTCGAATGAAGAAATCTCCAGAACAATATTTTATATGAGCACTTATAAATCCACATCCACCTGAATGTGAGATTCACCCTAAAAGGTAAGGTTCCGACCCGATGGATTATCGGAACAAATCCGAACTTAAACGGACCAGAGCGGGTGTGGGCTAACTTAGCGTTAGCTTATGTCTGTTTTGAGGCTGCCTAGCGGCGTTGTGGTGAAAAACGCCTAAAAGCGAGGTTCTGGTACCGATTTTCTCGGATGGAGAGCGGTATAAGCTCATGACGTGGATCTTAAATGGTGAATTGTGTCAGTATAATCAGAACCGGAAGAGCTACCTGAAGCCGAACTCAGATTCTAACCGACATAGCCTAGCTAAGTTAGCTTAGCATCGGTGTGTTGTCTCCAGGTTAACTAAAGTTAGCGGCGTTGCCTCTATTCTGTATGTGATGACAACTTCAGCAGCTATAACATCCATGATAATAATGCGCAAATGAGTTATTGTTTGCAAATTTAACGCAATTTTAATGTTAATAAGACACATTGAAAGTGTTGGGGGGGGGGGGGGGGTTATGTTATCCAGATGGCTAGCTGCCCATTTAATCTAACTGATGCTCGTGTTGTGAACAGTTAATTCAGCTGCCTCGCCGTGTTGTCCATCAGTCTGCACAGTCAGCGAGTTAAAGTAACGCCGTGTGGGTGGCGTGGCATTGCGTGGCACCCAGAGACACGCATTGCAGGTGCGTTGCAGCGGATGCTAACCAGCATTGTGTCTTCATTGTCCCCCAGTCTGTGTGCGATCCAGGGCGGGCAGGACATTCCGACACCTGCCACCTAGCCAGCCGGAGAGACGGGGAACAGGATTGGGAAGCAGGGCGAGGCGGGCCCCGCGGAGCCGGTGGAGAAGATGGCCGGCAGCCCCGAGAAGAGCTCCACCGCGCAGGAGCTGAAGGAGCAGGGGAACCGGCTGTTCCTCTGCCGCAAATACCAGGAGGCTGCTTCATGTTACAGCAAAGCTATCGTGAGTCTGTTCCACCAAACACACATTTATGCAGATTTTTACATTTTTATCACAACAAAACCACAAAATCCGACGATGTTTATGTAATAAGCAGCAATAAGCAGAGTTGGGCAGTTAAATTTACTCAATTACATTTACTTGAGTAACCTTTGATAAAATATACTTTTAGAAGTATATTTACTACAATGTACTTTAAGTATTTTATTCTGAAGTATCTCTGCTCTTGAGTAAAATTGCTGTTTCTACCCACTGAAGGAAAAACAAACATATTTTTTTAAAAAAAACTTCGCCAGACACACACCTGCAGTTTTTATTAATGTTTCATAAGTTTTTTATTGAAAGAAACTTATTTGAAAACATTTTTTGTTTGATTTTGTTATTTCTTGTTACTTATATGAATTATTGTCATTTTGGTCCTTAAAATGCTAAAGTTTTCACTTAATTTTATATTTTGGTCCATCTGACTGAAGATGTCATTTTTAAATATTAAATGATTGATAATTGATCAGTTACTCAGTACTTGAGTTGAGTTTTTACTCTGATTTGAGTAAAAACATGTTGAAGTGGTGTTATTCTTGAGTATAATTCTTGGGTTCTCTACCAATAAGTAGGTTATTTTTGTGAAAATGAAGGGAAACAATATTCCTAACAGTCATTAGGCCTGAAACGATAACTATAAATGGTCCAGAATTTGTTGCCAGGACTACTGATGTTGTTTTGAGACCATTTTCAGTAATATAACGGTAATAAAGGCATAATGATCTCAAAGATCGTTTAACACTGGAAGGCATTTTAAATATTAAAAATAAACAAACAAAACTATAAATAAAGTGAATTATGAAGTCTCTGGAAACAAAATTGTCCTTCAAAATAAGAGCTGGTTGAGACCCAAACATCAGACTGGAGACTTTTTGGGAGAAAGAGAAAAATGATAAATCATGTAAATGGAAATTATTGAGCTCATTTGAATTATCCTGTGATTAATTGATTTATTGCAACAAGCCTGGTCTCAAAATGACAACACTGTCGTTTGTCACAATAATTGGTGACATGCAGAGTAGCACAGTTAATATATTTACAATATACTGTTCAGTCCTAATAATAACCTCTCATCATCACCACAGACTGTTTAGAATACCACGACTGATGGTGAAACTCTATGTAGCTGATGATGTCATCACAGTATTTACCAGAATGATGGTATCTGCATAACTTCCTCTTAGTGGGAATAGTTCAGTGATCTGTTGTGTTTCTGTAGCGTCCAGCTGAGTTTCTGTTTCCTTCAACCTGCAGAACCGTAATCCGTCGGTGGCGGTGTACTACACCAACCGGGCGCTCTGCCACGTGAAGCTGCAGCAGTACGACAAAGCTCTGGCAGACTGCAAGCACGCACTGGAGCTGGACAGTCAATCGGTCAAGGCTCACTTCTTCCTGGGCCAGTGTCACCTGGAGCTGGAGAACTACGACGAGGCCATCGGCAACCTGCAGAAAGGTCGGAGGAAACGCCGGAAATAAACCGCTTTTTAATGGGTTGCATAATTACCATCATCAGTTTCCTCTGTTGCAAACAAAACATTTTCACTTCCTGTCTCATTTCTGTTAGAGATCTGAGTGTTCTGCACTCAGAGGACCCAAAAACTACACTCAAGTCAGAGGAGAGCTTCTTGAGCATGTTTTTAGTCGGAAGTAAAAAAATAGCCGTCCAAGAAATTACTCAAGGAAGAGTAAAAAGCATTTGGTGGAAAGTCGACTCAAGAACTGAGTAACTGATGAAATGATCAAACATCCACCCGTTTTCTAACATCCTGGTCCCTCGTGGGGTCAGGAGGTGCTGGTGCCTCTCCTGTCCGGGTCACCTGGACCCGTCGCCAGTCTGACGCAGCAAATTATCAAACATTTAATATTTAAAAATTACGTCATCACACGGATCCAAATTATAAAGTGCTCTCCTTTAGTGAATGTTTGATCAAACTATGAAACTTGATACATTCTGGGCAGATAGTTACATATTTACGTACAAATTGTTTTCTTTTTGGTTTAATTGCTGCTCCATGTTCTTTCAGTACATGGTCTTAGTTTGAGTCTTCGCACAATTTTTGAATTGTTTCAGGCCTAATGTTCATGAAAAAAAAAAAATTGATCATTTATCAATATTTGGCTGATCACTGATTTATTCAGAGAAAAATCATCTGATTCGGTGCATCCAGCTGTAAATAAAACATGGCTGCTTGGGTTGATTAGGTTCCTGACTTATTTTTCTCACAGGCTTCCGGTTGAGCTGTTAGCTTTAGCATTCTGCCTGAACACATTTACTTCATCCTTTTGATGCCATGTGTAGCTTATAACCTGGCAAAAGAGCAGAGGCTGAATTTCGGAGACGACATCCCGAGCGCGCTTCGCATCGCCAAGAAGAAGCGCTGGAACAGCATCGAGGACAAACGCATCAACCAGGAGAACGAGCTTCACGCCTACCTGACCAAACTCATTCTGGCCGAGAAGGAGAGGTGAGGCTGGACACGCAGCAGAACGACACGCTTCACCTCCAGAGTAAAACCTGGAGACTCTGAGTTTAAACCTGGAGACTCTGAGTTTAAACCTGGAGACTCTGAGTTTAAACCTGGAGACTCTGAGTTTAAACCTGGAGACTCTGAGTTTAAACCTGGAGACTTTGTTGTGTTTTCACAGAGAACTTGAAGAATACAAAGAGAAACAGGATGACAATCAAAATGGAGGCGATGCTGGAAAAATTTCATCTAAACATGTGAGTTGTTTTGTTTATTTACTAGGACTGCTGCTGTATGGAGGACCAAAACTGACATAATTAAAAATAAAAGCAGAAATGCGTATGTTTTGTCTTTCCTTGCAGAAATATTTTTTAAAATGTGTTGAGTTCTGATGTCTGATTTCCTTCCTCCTGTTTTTATAATAAAGTGATTAATCGATTGCAAAGTTAGTTGATGATTATTTAAATAATCAATTAATCAGAATTAATTGTTTCAGCCCTACTGCTTTTATCCTTTAACTTACAGAAATAATGTTTAAAAATGCTGAGTATTGATGTCTGATTTTCTTCCTAATTCATCATAATGTGATTAATCAATTACTAAATTAGTAGATGATTATTTAAATTGATGAATTGTGGTTAATTGTTTCTGAATTATTTGTTATCCTTTAAAAATGGCAGAAATGTTTTAAATGCTTTTGATTATTGTCTGATTTTCTTCTTAATTTTGTCATAATGTGATTAATCAGTTATTAGACGAGTTGACAATTGTTGAAATAATTGATTAGTCATCGTTAATCGTTTCATCCCTGTTATTTATTTCTTCGTAACCTTTAAAAACAGCAGAAATGAAATATTTAAAATGCTGTTGAGTGTTAATGCCTGGTTTTATTTCGTCTTAATGTGAAGGAGAAGTATTTAATGGAGATGGAAGAGCTTTTCTCTCAGGTGGATGAGAAAAGAAAAGTGAGTATGGAGAATGATTTTCACTTCCTGTTGATCGTGTTCATTGATAACACAAACCTGTAACAGATTTAAGGGAACAGTTTTATAACCAGCATGACTTTATCCAGTAAACATTATGTGCTCTTTAGTTTTACTTTTAGCACCGATGGTTACCATGGAAACTATTTCACAGCACCGTCTGTCAGCAGACGGATGATGATCTGGATTTAATGAACCTAAACTCTGCAGAAGGAGCTTTTATCGTGTTCATATCGTCATCATTTTGAGCTGAACGTCACATTTATCCCCTCATGTTTTTCTCTCCGTCTTTCAGAAGCGAGAAATCCCAGATTACCTTTGTGGAAAGATCAGCTTTGAGCTGATGCGGGAGCCGTGCATCACACCCAGCGGCATCACCTACGACCGCAAAGACATCGAGGAGCATCTGCAGGTAGAAACGCCCGACGGAGGTTTCAGGACTTCCTCTAGCGAACGCTCCGTCGTCTGCAGCTACAGAAACGCTTCCTGCTGGGCCGAAGTTTGAATTTAGTTGGTTATCAGATGATTCTTACTGAGACTTTTGTTTACAGACCTAAAACCTTTTCCACTTTTGATATCTGAGGTTTAGTATCGGCTCGTACTAATCCGATACAGAAAAACTATTTTAGAATGCAGAATGTGGCATTTAATCCGATTAATCGTCAGAATAATCAGTTACTAAAATAATCATTAGTTGAAAGCTCAGCTCTAAGAATATTGTTTTTTAAGCAAATGGTCTTATAGTCCAGTTAACGATTAATCGATTTACTAAATTAGTTGACGATTATTTCAATAACTGATTAATCAGATTGTTTCAGCTGCTTACAGCAATAATTCAGCCAAATCTTACAAAAAATATATTTTGTATTTTAAGATAATAAAAATAGCCTTTTTAAGAGTTTTTATATTCTGGTTAGACATTAATCAATTACTAAATTAGACTATTACAATAATCGATGAAAAATATGCAGAATGTGGTATTTGATTCTGATTGTCAGAATAATTAACTAGTAAATAATCGTTAGCTGCAGGCGTAGAACTTTAGACAAATGGGCTTTAGTGACTAATTACTAAACTACTTTAGGGTTATTTAATGATTATCACGATTTATCAGAATAATTGATGATTAGTCAATTAAATTAAATAATTTAGTTTTAAGTGTTTTTTTTTTTTTAGCAATTAGCTTTTTTTCAAGCTCCAGTTATTGATTTTTGCATTACTAACAGAATTGATGACGACTTCTATAATCGATTAATCGTGATTAATCAATTCAGTTCTAAAAGGTTTCTGCCCCCAGATGTAATGGCGCTGTATTTTGTGGCTCTGCAGCGGGTGGGCCACTTCGACCCCGTGACCCGGAGCCCCCTGACCCAGGATCAGCTGATCCCCAACCTGGCCATGAAGGAAGTGATCGACGCCTTCATCCAGGAGAACGGTTGGGTGGAGGACTACTGAAGCGCCCGGCCCGTTTCCCCGTTCGGAGCCTGGACGACACAGACTGTGGAGAAGCAGAACAGCCTCACTGCGGACCACCAAACCGGAGAATCACTTCTTCTTCTTCTGCAGTAAATCTTCTCTCTCCGGCTCTGAGGCTCAGTGTTAGCCGCCGCTGCTCCCTTTAAGTTCACTCTCTTCCTCTTCCTCCTCCTCTTCGTCACGCTGTTTTTGGGTCTCAGATTGGGCGACCAGATGGCGCCCAGGTCTCTGTCGCCCTCCACCTTCTTTCTCTGAAAGCGCCGCAGTCCAGCGTTTCCACCGATTATAAACACGGAAGAAAGAATCAGACTTTTTGTGTCGGGATCCATAAAGACGTTGGAGTTTTATTTGATGTTTCATCCAAGTATATTTTATGTATTTTTTCATGAAAAACGGACCATCAGTCACTAAAATGCCAAAAAGCTGTTGACTCAAAGGAAAAGGGAGCAAGTACCCCTTTCTTCCTGCAGGTGGCGCCTCTTACACACCTGTCCCGTCACTTTACTGTAAACGTCAGTAGATTTAAGTAGATCTCTTCTCCTTTGCATATCAATCACACCCCGATGCAGACAATTAAGATAAGTTGAATGTATGGTTTCTATATTTCTTATTTTTTAATCAGAACAGTTTAAGGTTTCGGGAAAAACCTCAAACTGGGATCAGAAGATGAATTGCTGCATTAAAACAAAACATTTCCATGTTGCTGGATATGAAACGCCTAAATGTTTAAACCCGAGAGACTTTCAGCTGTTGCTGCGCTGTCTGTCTGTTTCTGGACGCGAGGAGGATCGCATCAAGCATGAAGTGCATTTCCTTGAACTAGGACAAATCTTTGCCCCGTCAGAAAGGACTTGAGGTTCAGATGGCCACTGCCCCAGCGTCCGCCACCTAAAATAAAAAATAAAAACATGCTGGAAGAGCTAGAACATCTTCATCCATACCTCAGTCCAAGTGTTTGCTTGCTGGATTTCCAGCATCCCTGTAATAAAACTGCAAACAGAAAATATTTTGGGTTTAGTTTCTGGTGTAAATGTCTTAGTAGACATAAAATACGACAAAACGTTTCAGCAACATATGAGAGCATTTGGTTAGTTAATATCGACAGAAATGTTAATTAAAATGTATCTGGCAGATTATTGTAATAAACCATTTTTTCATGTTATAAATGAAATAATCCAGTAGAACTATAAATATTTCAGTATTAAGGAATCATTGACTCAACTCTTCTTTCTTCTCAGTATGCTTGAAATGAGACAAAACTAACTTTTCAGGAAGAAATGACTTCTTGTTTTAAGTGAATAATTCCTTACTGAGATGAAATAGTTCCAGTTTTATTAGATTATTTCACTTATAGAAAAATATCTTGTTATAAGGGAAATAATCCACTAATGAAATTTGAGCTTTTTCATCAATATTAAAGAGTTTCTGACTCAAATCAAGCTCCTATATTTTGCTAAAAAGTTGCTTGTTTTGTCTTATTTTGTGACATTTGCAGCAGAAACTAAACTAAAAATGTTTAGATTTTGTGTTTTTGCAGTGAATAAAAGGAGTTTCCAGTCCAGTGCTTGGTAGTTTACAGCTGAATGTGTCTGGTGAGTTCGGCCCGTCGGTTTTTGTGCTGAGGTTCAGGCTTTGTACATAAGTTGCTGGTGTTGCTCAGATTTTAGTTCATGAAAAGTTAGGATTCTTTTCTTTGTCTGGAGAAATCCTAGAAATTAATAAACTGTATTAAATGTAGATATGTTGATAACATGAATGCCTGGCTCTGTTTTCATTTGAAATATTACCAAACGCGTTTCCTGTTTATCCACCTTTCTCTCCAGTCACGAGGCAAAATGGCAAAACTATAAACCAGTTACTCAGCAGGTCGTTGCTAGGCAACCACAGAGCAAGCCAGTTACTCTATTCCACCAGCCGAGCTCATTTCTGAGTTTTCAAACTCGGAAAACATCGTTTTCTAGAACATTTCTGAGTTTTTCCAGGCAAAATTTGAACTTTTCAAACAGAAATTTCCAGTTTTTTTTTTTTTTTTTTTAGAAAATGTCTGAGTTTTATTTTAGAGTTTTATTCTAGCAAATCTTCAACATTTCATACTCAGAAATTGTCTTGTTTTTTCTAGAAAATTTCTCAGATCTGAAATTTTGAGATCAATTTGATCTCAAAATATCAGATCTGATATTTTGATCTGATTTTAGATTAATCTAAAAAATCTGATTTTAGATTAATCTAAAATCAAAGTTTGATTTCTCAAACTTTGAAATTTCCAATATTTTTTGAGAAAATTTTAGATCAAGCTCAAAACTTGATTTTCTACTAGCAAATTTTCAACTTTTCAGTCTTGGAAATTTTCTAATTTTTTCTAGAACATTCCTCAGATTGATCTCAAAGTTTCTGAGTTTTATTCTAGCAAATTTTTGACTTTTCAGACTCAAACATTTCCATGTCTTCTAGAACATTTTTGAAATTAATCTAAAAAGTTCAGTTTTTTGGAGGAAATTTGCTCCTTTTTGTTTGGCCCTGATATGTTGTGGTAGGAATGCTAAAGCTAATGCTAATGCTAATGCGAGGCTCCAGGTGTTTTTCTAATCAAATCCCAGTCAGTCGACGAATGTATGGAGATATTTTGAAAACGGTTCCGTCTGAAGTCTCTGGTTCTGGGTGAAATGACCGCCGGTGACCCGGGCTCACACACCGGGTCCATTGTCATGGCGATGACATCATCACTCAGTACCAGCGGGGAAGAGCTCCGGTTCCCACTGCTGATGAGGGCAGCAGACCGAGCTGCTGGAGGACAAACGAACCGCTTCAAAATGGTAAAAACACATTTTTATTTTACTAAATTTGGGGGTTGTTTTTAATTTGTCCTAATTTGTTTATCTGATCTGGATGAGATGTGTGTGTTCACAGGGCGTCAACGCTGTAACCATGGTAACGGTTCTGCTCGTTTCTTGGACCCCTTCCTTCGCCACACAAGGTAGACACTTTGAAACTGGTTTTGGTAAAATGGTTCTTTAAGCTTTGGGTGATCAGATAAATCCAACATCCTTCAAATGAAATAATAAACATTAATGCATTAATGCTTTATTGAAGACGTTTAAACGGCAAAAACACTAAATCTGTGTGTCGTCTAGTTTCTAGTGAAAATGTCTTAATACACTTGAAATAAGAAAAAAACTAACTTTTTCCTGATGGAAAGGAGCTTCGTGTCTCACCGACATGAGATGGTGACAGTTTAAACTACGGAGGAGGATTAGGGTCAAAACAAAAATAATTGACTTTAAACTTAGATTTCAGTTTTTTCAGAAAATGCTGACTTTAATCAGAGATCAAAACTCTGAGATTAAAGTGGGATTAATCTCAACATTTGAGTTTTTTCTAGCATATTTTGGAATTTGTAAATGTAGAAGTTTTTTCCAGAAAAATTCTGATTAATCTCAAATTTTCAAATTTTATTTTTTTTTAGCAAACTTTCAACTTTTCAAGCTCAGAAATGTTTTCATAATTTACAGAAAAATTGAGATTCTGACTTTAATCTCAAAACCGACTGTAATCAAATCAAAAACTGACATTTTTTTCTCTGGGACTTTTCAAGTAAATATTAACAAATCAAACTTACAAATTTCCACTTTTCTGACTTTCGATCTGAAAAGAATAAAGTCCAAATTCTGAGATTAAAGTCAGAATTCATTTATTTTCAGTGGTGCTAATCCTCTTCTGTACTAATTCTGTAAAAATAAACCATATTTTTGTGAAGGTTTCCTCTAATGATGCTGTGTTCTGTTTGGTACCTGCAGTGGGCCTCAGCGAGAAGGTCCTGGTCTTCCCGTATGAGACGGACTTCAGCTTCGTGGCTCTGATCCCGCAGAAGGAGATGGCGCTGCGGGCCTTCACGCTCTGCATGCGGGTGGCCACCGAGCTGCCTGAGGAGCGCCAGATCATCCTGTTCGCCTACCGCACCGCCGACTACGACGAGCTCAACGTGTGGCGCGAGAAGGACGGCCGCGTCTCCTTCTACCTGAGCGGCGACGGCGTCTTCTTCCGCCTGCCGCCGCTCAGCACCTTCCGCACCAGCCTCTGCCTCACCTGGGAGTCGCGCTCCGGCCTGGCCGCCTTCTGGGCGGACGGCAGGCGCAGCACCTACCAGGTGTACAAACCGGGCCACAGCGTGAGGCCCAAGGGCACCGTGCTGCTGGGCCAGGACCCGGACAAACACCTGGGCGGCCTGGAGGCCACGCAGAGCTTCGTGGGCGAGATGACGGACGTCAACATGTGGGACTTTGTGCTTTCTCGGAGCATGATCCAGGCCTGGCACTACGGACACAAAGTCCCCAAGGGGAACATCTTCGACTGGGCCAGCTTGGAGTACGAGCTGAGCGGCAACGTGCTGGTGGTGGACGACGACTGACGCGATGCGGGGGACCCGGCGGGCCGAGGCCCGGCTGTGGAGGGCAGCGCCGCACTGCGGCTGCTGGCGCCGGCCCTGTGGTGGTACGCAGGAGGATCAGGGCCGGTCTGGGTGGAATGAAGACACACAGGGGGACATTTACACCAAAACTCAGCTTCAAAAGGCAAAAACTGACTTGGAAAACTCAGAAATTTTAAGATTAATCTAAAAAAAATGTTGCAGAAAAAACTTTCAAAAGTTTTAAAATTTGCGAGAAACCCCCCAGAAATTTGGGAATTAATCGCATCAGTTTTTCAGAAAAAACTTGAAAATTTCTCAGTTTGAAAAGTTAAAGGTGTGCTAGAAAAAAATCTGAATTTTTTTAGATTAATCTCAGAAATTTTATAGAAAACACACGGACACTTCTGAGTTTGAAAGTCAAAAATCTTCTAGAAGAATCTCAGAAATGTTTACAGTAATCCCAGAGTTTTTCTAGAAAAAAACAAGGCTGCCCTGAAATATTTAACATTTTCTACAGAAACAGAAAAACAGAAACATCTACCAAATTGCCACAAACGTTCTCAAATTTAAATTTTCATCTCTGCCTTTTAGTTTTTGTATTTCAGATTTTCTTCACTTGGTAACTTTGAGATTAACACAACATAACACTTTTAATCTTTACTTGAATATTCTGCTCCTTTAATCTCAGATTACTAATGATTGGAAAAGTCCTGAAACGTTTTAAACTCCATTAATGCTTCATTTGTTCAATGTTTACCAATTTCCTAATAACCTCTAAAGAGTCATTGATAGTAAAGGTCATTGTTAGCAAGCTAAATATTGAGCTAATTATTTAGCACCAAGCTAAATAATTATTAAACTATTTAATTTCTACTCCAGATCATATCAAACCAGAATGGGCCACTCCTTTCTCTAAAACAGCAGTGTTATCTAACCAAGTTTAATGGATGGATGTTTGGAGTTAGAATCACTCCAAGGGCCACAAATGGCCCCCGGGCCGCATGTTGAACAACCCCGCTTATATTCTGACTTTAATATTTGGCAGGTTAATAAACTGTGTCTCTGAGAGCTGCTGTACTAAATACCATCTGCTAAACATTAACTTAACTTTTCATTATTTTTTTTGAATCTGTAAAAGATAAAAATAAAATAATTTCTAAAACTTTGATTTTATTCAAAATGTTGTGTTTGTCACTGTGCTGTTGAGGCTGTCATACCAGAGGCATCCACAGGAGGGCACTCTGGACTCGGCCTCATAAAATGACCTTTCATCCAGTCTGCATGTGTAACAAAAACTGGCACCATGACTTAAAAAAGTGTTTTTATACAAACTGGAACGAATCTTTTCATTTTATGTATGCAAAGACATTAAAAAGTAGAATAACAAAAAAATGTTTAAAAATCTTTTTTACCTTTAAAGATAAAAAAAATGCTATTCAATAAAACAGTCCAGATGGAATTATACATTTGTTTTGATCAAACTGCCTCCTAATAAAATATGTATATATAATGTTAATATTAAATGTATGATGTGCTGCGCAGCATTGATTGTTGTTTACAGCAGGTCTGGTTCCAAACCGTCGCTGCCTTTGGTTTCTCCAGCTGATGTAAGAGCCTGAAATAAAACCTCATCATGTGGAGCCAACAACGTTCGTCATTAAATTAAATTAGTTCATCTTTGAACTCTACAAGCTGCTTTTTCATAAAAATCCCACAGTAAAATTCAAGCATCAAGGTAAGTTTTTCAAACTTTTCCAGAACCAATCTTTTAGATAATAAACTAAAACAAACAAAAAAAAAGATTATAATTTTTGACCGTTAATATCTTGTATTCTACAGCAGGTGAGCTAATGAACATATTTCTGAAATGTCACATTAGACACATCCAACCAAGAACAAAAAATGACAAAAAAGTAAAATATTTTTACTTTTATGTTTGTTTGTAGAAGCAGTTGTTTGTTTCAACTGTTTCTACAATCAATCATATTAAAAAAACAACAAACAGCATTTATATTAATGTTTTTTGGAGTCTGGACAATGAGCCGTTCAAAAACCTCCCAATGGTTGAGTCATGTTACACTTGCACAGCGCCGTTGCCTAGCAACCCCAGGCAAGCCCCGCCCGTTACCTAGCAACCCCAGCGGAATTCCAAAAACACAAAATCTTACAAAATATCTTTTTAGTTCAGTAGAAATATCGTAGCCTGCTGAAAACAAGACAAAACTGACTTAAAAGTAACTTTACAGCCAGATAGATATAGGAACTTGATTTAAGTTATTCATTTTTGAATATTGATCGAAAGTATTAAAAAATGGCAACATCTTATTTTATTGTAAATTTTCTGCCAGTGAAGCTGCTTTTTAATTTATATACACAAAACATTACAATTAGATCCTGTGACTTGCTGGCAAGTTCTATGTAAGTCAGTTTTGTTTTATTTCAGTTGTACAAATATATTTTCAACAGAAACTACTTGGTAAGATTTTCTGTTTTTACAGTGCATACATTTGTTTTTTGCAGCAGAGCATCTTTATAAATCCCACCAGTCAAGTTGAAGTGATTTATGTTCCAGTGACAATCGGTGCAGAAGGAAACAAACATTTCTAAGCGTATTGTACCAAACCCAGTCCTTGCAGAAATCAGGGCCCGTGGATCTGGTTTGGGGCCCGTGGGTCTGGTTTGGGGCCCGTGGATCTGGTTTGGGGCCCGTGGATCTGGTTTGGGGCCCGTGGGTCTGGTTTGGGGCCCGTGGATCTGGTTTGGGGCNCCTTTCTCTCCAGTCACGAGGCAAAATGGCAAAACTATAAACCAGTTACTCAGCAGGTCGTTGCTAGGCAACCACAGAGCAAGCCAGTTACTCTATTCCACCAGCCGAGCTCATTTCTGAGTTTTCAAACTCGGAAAACATCGTTTTCTAGAACATTTCTGAGTTTTTCCAGGCAAAATTTGAACTTTTCAAACAGAAATTTCCAGTTTTTTTTTTTTTTTTTTTAGAAAATGTCTGAGTTTTATTTTAGAGTTTTATTCTAGCAAATCTTCAACATTTCATACTCAGAAATTGTCTTGTTTTTTCTAGAAAATTTCTCAGATCTGAAATTTTGAGATCAATTTGATCTCAAAATATCAGATCTGATATTTTGATCTGATTTTAGATTAATCTAAAAAATCTGATTTTAGATTAATCTAAAATCAAAGTTTGATTTCTCAAACTTTGAAATTTCCAATATTTTTTGAGAAAATTTTAGATCAAGCTCAAAACTTGATTTTCTACTAGCAAATTTTCAACTTTTCAGTCTTGGAAATTTTCTAATTTTTTCTAGAACATTCCTCAGATTGATCTCAAAGTTTCTGAGTTTTATTCTAGCAAATTTTTGACTTTTCAGACTCAAACATTTCCATGTCTTCTAGAACATTTTTGAAATTAATCTAAAAAGTTCAGTTTTTTGGAGGAAATTTGCTCCTTTTTGTTTGGCCCTGATATGTTGTGGTAGGAATGCTAAAGCTAATGCTAATGCTAATGCGAGGCTCCAGGTGTTTTTCTAATCAAATCCCAGTCAGTCGACGAATGTATGGAGATATTTTGAAAACGGTTCCGTCTGAAGTCTCTGGTTCTGGGTGAAATGACCGCCGGTGACCCGGGCTCACACACCGGGTCCATTGTCATGGCGATGACATCATCACTCAGTACCAGCGGGGAAGAGCTCCGGTTCCCACTGCTGATGAGGGCAGCAGACCGAGCTGCTGGAGGACAAACGAACCGCTTCAAAATGGTAAAAACACATTTTTATTTTACTAAATTTGGGGGTTGTTTTTAATTTGTCCTAATTTGTTTATCTGATCTGGATGAGATGTGTGTGTTCACAGGGCGTCAACGCTGTAACCATGGTAACGGTTCTGCTCGTTTCTTGGACCCCTTCCTTCGCCACACAAGGTAGACACTTTGAAACTGGTTTTGGTAAAATGGTTCTTTAAGCTTTGGGTGATCAGATAAATCCAACATCCTTCAAATGAAATAATAAACATTAATGCATTAATGCTTTATTGAAGACGTTTAAACGGCAAAAACACTAAATCTGTGTGTCGTCTAGTTTCTAGTGAAAATGTCTTAATACACTTGAAATAAGAAAAAAACTAACTTTTTCCTGATGGAAAGGAGCTTCGTGTCTCACCGACATGAGATGGTGACAGTTTAAACTACGGAGGAGGATTAGGGTCAAAACAAAAATAATTGACTTTAAACTTAGATTTCAGTTTTTTCAGAAAATGCTGACTTTAATCAGAGATCAAAACTCTGAGATTAAAGTGGGATTAATCTCAACATTTGAGTTTTTTCTAGCATATTTTGGAATTTGTAAATGTAGAAGTTTTTTCCAGAAAAATTCTGATTAATCTCAAATTTTCAAATTTTATTTTTTTTTAGCAAACTTTCAACTTTTCAAGCTCAGAAATGTTTTCATAATTTACAGAAAAATTGAGATTCTGACTTTAATCTCAAAACCGACTGTAATCAAATCAAAAACTGACATTTTTTTCTCTGGGACTTTTCAAGTAAATATTAACAAATCAAACTTACAAATTTCCACTTTTCTGACTTTCGATCTGAAAAGAATAAAGTCCAAATTCTGAGATTAAAGTCAGAATTCATTTATTTTCAGTGGTGCTAATCCTCTTCTGTACTAATTCTGTAAAAATAAACCATATTTTTGTGAAGGTTTCCTCTAATGATGCTGTGTTCTGTTTGGTACCTGCAGTGGGCCTCAGCGAGAAGGTCCTGGTCTTCCCGTATGAGACGGACTTCAGCTTCGTGGCTCTGATCCCGCAGAAGGAGATGGCGCTGCGGGCCTTCACGCTCTGCATGCGGGTGGCCACCGAGCTGCCTGAGGAGCGCCAGATCATCCTGTTCGCCTACCGCACCGCCGACTACGACGAGCTCAACGTGTGGCGCGAGAAGGACGGCCGCGTCTCCTTCTACCTGAGCGGCGACGGCGTCTTCTTCCGCCTGCCGCCGCTCAGCACCTTCCGCACCAGCCTCTGCCTCACCTGGGAGTCGCGCTCCGGCCTGGCCGCCTTCTGGGCGGACGGCAGGCGCAGCACCTACCAGGTGTACAAACCGGGCCACAGCGTGAGGCCCAAGGGCACCGTGCTGCTGGGCCAGGACCCGGACAAACACCTGGGCGGCCTGGAGGCCACGCAGAGCTTCGTGGGCGAGATGACGGACGTCAACATGTGGGACTTTGTGCTTTCTCGGAGCATGATCCAGGCCTGGCACTACGGACACAAAGTCCCCAAGGGGAACATCTTCGACTGGGCCAGCTTGGAGTACGAGCTGAGCGGCAACGTGCTGGTGGTGGACGACGACTGACGCGATGCGGGGGACCCGGCGGGCCGAGGCCCGGCTGTGGAGGGCAGCGCCGCACTGCGGCTGCTGGCGCCGGCCCTGTGGTGGTACGCAGGAGGATCAGGGCCGGTCTGGGTGGAATGAAGACACACAGGGGGACATTTACACCAAAACTCAGCTTCAAAAGGCAAAAACTGACTTGGAAAACTCAGAAATTTTAAGATTAATCTAAAAAAAATGTTGCAGAAAAAACTTTCAAAAGTTTTAAAATTTGCGAGAAACCCCCCAGAAATTTGGGAATTAATCGCATCAGTTTTTCAGAAAAAACTTGAAAATTTCTCAGTTTGAAAAGTTAAAGGTGTGCTAGAAAAAAATCTGAATTTTTTTAGATTAATCTCAGAAATTTTATAGAAAACACACGGACACTTCTGAGTTTGAAAGTCAAAAATCTTCTAGAAGAATCTCAGAAATGTTTACAGTAATCCCAGAGTTTTTCTAGAAAAAAACAAGGCTGCCCTGAAATATTTAACATTTTCTACAGAAACAGAAAAACAGAAACATCTACCAAATTGCCACAAACGTTCTCAAATTTAAATTTTCATCTCTGCCTTTTAGTTTTTGTATTTCAGATTTTCTTCACTTGGTAACTTTGAGATTAACACAACATAACACTTTTAATCTTTACTTGAATATTCTGCTCCTTTAATCTCAGATTACTAATGATTGGAAAAGTCCTGAAACGTTTTAAACTCCATTAATGCTTCATTTGTTCAATGTTTACCAATTTCCTAATAACCTCTAAAGAGTCATTGATAGTAAAGGTCATTGTTAGCAAGCTAAATATTGAGCTAATTATTTAGCACCAAGCTAAATAATTATTAAACTATTTAATTTCTACTCCAGATCATATCAAACCAGAATGGGCCACTCCTTTCTCTAAAACAGCAGTGTTATCTAACCAAGTTTAATGGATGGATGTTTGGAGTTAGAATCACTCCAAGGGCCACAAATGGCCCCCGGGCCGCATGTTGAACAACCCCGCTTATATTCTGACTTTAATATTTGGCAGGTTAATAAACTGTGTCTCTGAGAGCTGCTGTACTAAATACCATCTGCTAAACATTAACTTAACTTTTCATTATTTTTTTTGAATCTGTAAAAGATAAAAATAAAATAATTTCTAAAACTTTGATTTTATTCAAAATGTTGTGTTTGTCACTGTGCTGTTGAGGCTGTCATACCAGAGGCATCCACAGGAGGGCACTCTGGACTCGGCCTCATAAAATGACCTTTCATCCAGTCTGCATGTGTAACAAAAACTGGCACCATGACTTAAAAAAGTGTTTTTATACAAACTGGAACGAATCTTTTCATTTTATGTATGCAAAGACATTAAAAAGTAGAATAACAAAAAAATGTTTAAAAATCTTTTTTACCTTTAAAGATAAAAAAAATGCTATTCAATAAAACAGTCCAGATGGAATTATACATTTGTTTTGATCAAACTGCCTCCTAATAAAATATGTATATATAATGTTAATATTAAATGTATGATGTGCTGCGCAGCATTGATTGTTGTTTACAGCAGGTCTGGTTCCAAACCGTCGCTGCCTTTGGTTTCTCCAGCTGATGTAAGAGCCTGAAATAAAACCTCATCATGTGGAGCCAACAACGTTCGTCATTAAATTAAATTAGTTCATCTTTGAACTCTACAAGCTGCTTTTTCATAAAAATCCCACAGTAAAATTCAAGCATCAAGGTAAGTTTTTCAAACTTTTCCAGAACCAATCTTTTAGATAATAAACTAAAACAAACAAAAAAAAAGATTATAATTTTTGACCGTTAATATCTTGTATTCTACAGCAGGTGAGCTAATGAACATATTTCTGAAATGTCACATTAGACACATCCAACCAAGAACAAAAAATGACAAAAAAGTAAAATATTTTTACTTTTATGTTTGTTTGTAGAAGCAGTTGTTTGTTTCAACTGTTTCTACAATCAATCATATTAAATAAACAACAAACAGCCATTAATTTCATGTTTTTTGGAGTCTGGACAATGAGCCGTTCAAAAACCTCCCAATGGTTGAGTCATGTTACACTTGCACAGCGCCGTTGCCTAGCAACCCCAGGCAAGCCCCGCCCGTTACCTAGCAACCCCAGCGGAATTCCAAAAACACAAAATCTTACAAAATATCTTTTTAGTTCAGTAGAAATATCGTAGCCTGCTGAAAACAAGACAAAACTGACTTAAAAGTAACTTTACAGCCAGATAGATATAGGAACTTGATTTAAGTTATTCATTTTTGAATATTGATCGAAAGTATTAAAAAATGGCAACATCTTATTTTATTGTAAATTTTCTGCCAGTGAAGCTGCTTTTTAATTTATATACACAAAACATTACAATTAGATCCTGTGACTTGCTGGCAAGTTCTATGTAAGTCAGTTTTGTTTTATTTCAGTTGTACAAATATATTTTCAACAGAAACTACTTGGTAAGATTTTCTGTTTTTACAGTGCATACATTTGTTTTTTGCAGCAGAGCATCTTTATAAATCCCACCAGTCAAGTTGAAGTGATTTATGTTCCAGTGACAATCGGTGCAGAAGGAAACAAACATTTCTAAGCGTATTGTACCAAACCCAGTCCTTGCAGAAATCAGGGCCCGTGGATCTGGTTTGGGGCCCGTGGGTCTGGTTTGGGGCCCGTGGATCTGGTTTGGGGCCCGTGGGTCTGGTTTGGGGCGGGTCAGAGCTTTCTCAGGGTCAGATCTCCTCGCTGTGTCTCATCCCGCCCGGCCTGCACCAGCCTGCTGACCTCCTTGCAGAGATGAGGAAGTTTTTCCAGCGCGGGTTTTCCTCCGGGGCGGGAAGTGCTGCTGTTCAGTGTTTACTCTGAGCGAATCAGCCGTCGGCTCTCTGGCTGCAGCTAAATAAGGAGAAGGCCGGGCCGACGAGCTCTGACTGCGGGTCAGCAGCCAAATGTTCCACCTTCTTGGATGTTGCAATGCATCAATCGCGCTGCCCACTCACTGTGTGGTAACACCTTTATGGACCATCTGCCCCATCTTCCCTCCTCAGCCCTCTGGTGCGCACGCAGTGACACACACAGAGCTTCATCTAACGTTTTCACATCTCTGCCCAAAAGCAGCAATAATCCCCGCTGAAACAATTTATTCTATGAATTCAATTTCAAATCTGTGACTGCATATTAATGCCATTCTAGACTGAAAAGGAGGAAATTTCTGCCAAAAAACTGGAAAAAATGAACATTTCTGAGTTTCAAAAGTAAGATATTTGCTAGAAAAACTGAAATCAATCGCAGAAATGTTTTACAAAAAAACAGAAACTTTGCAAAGAAAAGTTGAAAATTTGCTAAACATAAAACAAAAAAATTCAATGAAAACATGGAAATTTCTGAGTTTGAAAGTCAGAAATTTCGTCTCCTGAGTTTTTTCTGCACAGACTGTCACTGGAAAACGTCCAGATTAAGGCAAACTGAGTCAACGTTTTCAAATGTGTCGTTATATAGATGCTCATTTACAACCATACATCCTTGAAAAGCAGAAGTGGATCCTCCTGCACAACCAACCAGAATGCAGCAAGTAGTTTCTGGACAAACACCGTCTTTTCCAGCAGCATACAGGGAACACCAGCTGACCAAACATGCTGGAGCTCAGGTTGGGTTGCTAGGTAACGAGCAGCGCCTGCTGATTTGTGATGTTACATTCTGGAAGTTTTTGAAATGGCTCATTTTCCAGACATTAAATAATATTAACTTCTAGCCAAAAACTATTGGGCTTTATTATCAGTTGAAACCCAAACAGAAATAGAAAAACATCCAAAAAGTGAATTTTGCACAACAACTCCTTTAAATGAATGTTTCTCAAATAAAGACTATTACAACTAATTGTGGATTCCTTTAGAGGTGCCTATATTAATCTAGCTTCTGCACCCAGTTGGGACTTTTAGGTACTTAGCATAAGGAGAAATTTACAGATTCATAATTATCCCCCATGTCCTTATGCTGCATGTATTATCCAACTGAGCAAACAGTTGCAGGGCCTCGTTGTTCCGCTGGCGGACCGGGCCGCCATCAGATCTGCATATTGGCCCATGGTGGTGGAAGCTGTCTGCGGCGAGGCGGCGCCCGCTGCCTGGCTGCGTGTCCACGCGAGCGGAGCTGGTGAAGATGTTTTCCACGCGACAGGAGACGGACGGCGGGAGGGAGTCCCGCCCGCCCGCGCCAGGCGGACAGAAGGAGCGCCGTTCTGGATTCCTTCGAGCAACTTCTAATAGATTTCCAGGCAAAACATATTTGCATATGTAAGACAGTGCTACGAGCTATCAGGGTGAGCTGTGTGCACTGAACAGATGGATAATTTTTTTAGAGCTTTCTTGCAGAAATTTTAGCCCATTAAAGTGAGATTGTGGGTATTATTCAATCTGCTTTTGTTCATGAGAGAGACGGCGGATCTTTGTTTGGATGAATCAAAGATGTAAAATTCACTTAATTGATCAAAGTTTGGGAACCAGTAGGGCTGGACAATAAATGAATAATACATATCACCATAACATTTATATAGAGAGAATACACTGAACTGAAATACAGAACCACACAGCATTCTGGGGGATGTAGGCCAAGGTTTCTTGCTGAAAATTCATTGCACAAATTGCAAATGTTTCCACTTATACAGCCTCCCCTTTGATCTTGATGTTATTCCACTTTATACTTCTTTTTATAATTTTGTATAGTTTATCCATAGTATAGTTTCTGTTTGTGGCCTAAGATGCATCATAATTTTAATGTTATGTTAAATGACAAAGATAATCTGAAACTGAAAAGTTGGAGGAATCAACCATCTCACTTGCTCTTTGGTTGCCTAGCAACCAAACAAGTGTCAAGTTCCCCCAAACTTCGGTTGCCTAGCAACAGCCTGCTGAGTAACTGGCGCAGCAGCAGTTTAAGGTTTCACCACCATGCCTCATAAAAGCGTTAAAATAAAAAATAGCATGAAGAGAAAACTCCGGATAAAACTCCATCAGTTTGGCTTTATTTCAGGTATTTAAACCAAAAACTAATCACTTAATGCTGATATAATCTGCCAGTGAAACTAGAACTTTTTCATCAATATTAAGGAATTATTTACTTGATTATTTTATTGAAACAAGCTCCTATTTCTCACTGAAAAATTGTAAGTTGGTTTTGTTTTTTTTTCTAAGATATTTGTAGTAGAAACTAAAAAAAATATTTGGTAATATTTTGTGTTTTTGCAGTGCACCATTACGACGTAGTGGCAGTTTAAACAAATATGTAAAAAACAAACAAACATTTTTTATAGAAGTTCCAAACTGCAGCTCAATGAGGACATCTCAACTTCATTTGGTTTTTCCTGCTGCAGACTTTATTTTTCTCTTAGAAGTTGAAACTCGGCAGTGCGGTTGCCGTTCCTGCGCCTCCGGGCTGCATGAAAAATTCACCACGTCTCCCATTAGAGTCGGGCCGCATCAGGCAGCGGGTGTTACAGCAGCCGCTCACATCACACTTTTATCACCCCCCGTTTAGCAACGCAAACGTTCCTGAAACAGAATCACAGCCGAGGCTGCTTCCGGGTGCAGAGAGGTCAGACGCACACGCCGGGATGAGCCGGAGAAAATCTGAACAGGTTTTTCACACTGCCGGTGCCAGACCTGACCTTTTCCAGGTGCGAATGTGAGAGAGAGGCCGGCAGGCCGGCGCCTAACGCCGGATCGTTCGAGCCGCATGGCCTTTGTCACAAAATATTCACTCTAAAACAACGAAGGGCGGGAGATGGCAGAACAAGAGCAACAATAATAAAGACGACCTTTAAGAAAAGGTCTGGGGTAGTTTAGAGAGGAGGGGTCACTTAAAGGCTCCAGCTTCTGAACTTTTCCTCCAGAATATATCAAACGATCGGTTTGCATAATTTAAAGACTTTTAAAAATCATATTATCCCAAAAAATGTCTCTCTTCAAAGTTTTTCTACAATACTGTAAAAAGAAGAAAGCAAAGGCAAATGTACAAATTATAAGATAGTATAAATAACTTAATTATATTTTTCATAATAAAGCAGTCAATCCTCCCGTTTGTTTCATTTGATTGTTTTTGTCATTGAAACAAAAAACTTATATTTACATCAAAGTTATGTATCAGTTGATGTTTTTAA